CAGATGTGGGAGTTACACTCAAATATTTACAGGTGCTTACGTATTCAGATATCATTTTTTAACCCATTACCACATTAGAGGTCGGAAATATCGCGCTGATTGGTTCTAAATTTTCCATGAAGTTCCAGTTATGGTCAAGGACAACGCCTACAATTTTCGGCGATGATCAGATTAAAATTTTGGGATGAAATGGACCGAAAACTTAAATTTTTGTGTGTGTTTCGAGTCGAATATAATCCGAACATCACAACACAAGTAATTAGAAGGGTTGTACTAAATATTTGAAAATATAAGGAAGAGGTGCTGTTGATCTCTAATCGGACAAGAGGGGGCAAATATCACGAAATATTATTCAAACTCAGAATAAACATCCGCAGAAAGTTCCGTGGTAGTTGTGTAGGGTATCGTATGGTCGGCCCCGTCCGTCTATACTACTCCGCTCACTGGTTTTCATCTAAGTTTTGTCAATTGTTTTCAGAGTTGCCGAAGAGTGAACGATATTTCCCATCTTCGAAACTGAACTAATTTTTTTTTTTAAGAAATATTACAATGACCACAATTTTAAGGGTTATCGTTTACACCTGCCAGACCGTCGGATTTTTTTAAATCGTTTTCAAACTCTATTAACCAGATTTATTAAATATCAATATTTCGAACATTCTTGTCGTATCAAAGTGAATATACCCGCCCATATGAGCCTTACGGCAGCTGGTATAAACAAAACCAACGGTCCACTCTTTCGTTCTAGGTATCATATAGACTCTACTGACGTACTTTTTTCTTATTGGTAATTAAACAAAGTGTAATTTAATTTTGCTGCTCAATTAAACGATTACAATATATTTTGTTTTTCCAAAATAAATTGGGTATAATAGTTGAGAATAATTTTTCTTATTGGACACCAGACCAAATTTCCAAAGTTAAACATTTTTCCGTATTGTTTCGACCATGGAACGGATTTACCATTGTAAGATTTTTATAATCAATCAAATAGGCTGGAAGCTGTAGAACATTTTCACAATAGTATCCATCCTTGTTGTTACAATTAGAATTTGTTTCTTGTTTCTCAGCTTCATGAAGACACTGTTCGATGAGAGTGGTGGCACGTTGAATATTTGTCAGGGTACTGTTTTGTATTGAAAAAGCCCATTCATGTGCCTGCTTTGCAAAGACATTCGAATTGCCCTTGGCTGTTTCCAATTGTAGGGAAAATGTCTTTTGATTACTTGCGGTGTAGGCATTTGAAGCGGCGACCTGAAAGGAGAGTAATTTATTTTTCTAGTTTTTAAAGAACAATAAGATGTTGTAATTATAACTCACCACATAAGCCAAACACTGGGTATAATTAACGGGATAGGATAAATTAAATCGGCTACGACAATTGGTCACACCCTTTTCAAAAGTTCCAACATAGTAGTTACTTAATGTGCGATTGGTTCCTATTAAAACATTGCTTAATGCCTGGGCTCTACCCCAGATCATACAACGGTCCAGTTCGCTTTGGGCAGCCATTTCAGAGGATATCAAATGTTGATATTTCAGAACACATTGTCGACTGAAATCACTCAGTAATTTCAATGGTAATAGATTTTCGTTAACACGTTCGATTTCATTTACGAGAGATTTCTGCTGAATCGCTATGGAATTAATGCGATCCAAATAGGCATCGCGGAATGTTGTAATTTGTAAATCATAATTCCAAAGATGGAAATTATTTTGCCGCCTTACAGCTTCAATATATTCATCGTTACGTATCAAAGAACTATTGTGGGTGTTATAGTAATTTTGAAGACCAGTCTGAAAATGAGATTTCAAAAATTTATTGTCTCTAAGGAAGTTTAGGAGAATCTACTTGCATTTTGCTGGGCCTTCGCAAAAACCAGCAAGACCAAAAAGGAGAAGAGTTTCAACAAGAACATTTTGCTTTTTTAATATTAAACTGTCGTTTTAATGTCCTTGTGAAAACTGTGAAATTATTTAAAATTGTTTTTGTTTTTATACCTAAAATCTAAAAATTATTCAGAAGTTTTATTCTCTGTTTATTATATTTGTTTAATATCTCGGTATGTTACATTTTGATTCATATAAAAAAATACTGAGAAAATGGTCATTACTAGTAGAACGATCCCTTATTTCTTTATTATATTTAACTTTTAACGGTAAATAATTATATAGTTTAATTATGGACACAAAAGCTGAAAGATAATATTTTTTCTAATGCAGAAAATTGTTTTTCTGATTTGAGAAAATAACACTAGTACGAGATTATTATCGGTGAAGTTCGTTTGTGACTTACATTGGTTCTGAAAATCCACGCCTATGGCTCTGATAGTCGTTGAAAAAAAATTATTTAAAAAATCCACGCCTATGGCTCTGATAGTCGTTGAAAAAATATTATTTAAACCAGTAAGGAAAGTAGTAAAGTCGGACGGGACCGACTATATGATACCCTTCACCACTTTGGGTATATTCAACAGAGCTATGGTATATCTAAATCTGAACAAATTTCAAGGAAACTTGCCGAGATTTATAAGTAAGTTTTGCCAATTGGCCTAGCTATTGGTCTGAACAATCTGAACAAATTTCAAGAAAACTTGACACACGAAAGGTTATAGTATCTTCAGTACATTGTACAAAATTGTGTGCGGGTCGGCCATTCTTTGAGCCTTTAGTGCACAATTTACATTAAATCGGACGAAAATATATATTCGAACTATATCTTAATGTGAACCGATATTCACGAAACTCTGCACACATCATTCTGGACCCAATTCATTGGAGATCCATTTACCTTAAATCGGGCGAAGATATATATGGGAGCTATATATAAATCTGGCCCGATTTTCTCGAAACTTGGCACACGTAATTCTTGACCTAATTCAGTACTTTATGCCAAATTTTGTGCAAATCGAATGATATGTAGGGACTTTGGTGCACCATTTACCTTAAATCGGACGAAACTATATATGGGAGCTATATCTAAATCTGAACCGATTTTGTTGAAACTTGGCACACATCATTATGGACCCAATTCAGTACTTCTTGCCAAATTTTGTGCAAATCGAATGGTATCTAGGGACTTTGGTGCACCATTTACCTTAAATCGGGCGAAACTATATATGGGAGCTATATATAAATCTGAACCGAATTTCTCGAAACTTGGCACACATCCTTCTGTACCTAATTCAGTACTCTGTGCCAAATTTCGTGTAAATCGAATGGTATCTAGGGACTTTGGAGCACCATTTACCTTAAATCGGGCGAAACTATATATGGGAGCTATATATAAATCTGAACCGATTTTCTCGAAACTTGGCACACATCATTCTGTACCTAATTCAGTACTCTGTGCCAAATTTCGTGCAAATCGAAAAATACGGAGAGACTTTGGTGCCCCATTTACCTTAAATCGGACGAAAATATATGTGGGAGCTATATCTAAATCTGGACCGATTTTTCCCAATTTCAATAGGGTTCGTCCTTGGGCCAAATAAGTGACTTGTGCCAAATTTCATTCAAATCTGATCATAAATGTTTACAATTTAACATCTACAGACGGACGGACGGACAGGCATAAATCGACTCAGAAAGTGATTCTATGCATATTCTCAAAAGGGACCATGTGTCTATCTCGTTTCCTTTTGCCTGTTACAAACATATGCACAAAGACATAATACCCTGTACCACAGTGTGGTGAAGGGTATAAAAATCCACGCCTATGGCTCTGATAGTCGTTGAAAAATTATTCATAAAACCAGTGAGCGGAGAAGTATAGTCGGACGGGGCCGACCATACGATACCCTACACAACTACCACGAACTCTAACTTTCTGAGGATGTTTATTCCGAGTCTGAGTAATATTTCGTGATATTTGCCCCCTCTTGCCCGATTAGAGGTCAACAACACCTCTTTCTTACTTTTTCGAATATTCAGAATATTTCGCGATATTTGAACCATCTGGACCAACAAGAGGCCGACAATTATTACTAATGTTCAGTACAGCCCTTCTAATTACTTGTCCAGATTCCCTTCTCTTGTGTTGTGATGTTCCTATTCCCATTGGAGCCTATAGATCGACTCGAAAAAAACACAAAAAATTAAGTTTTCGGTCCATTTCATCACAATATAATTATCTGATCGTCACCGAAAATTGTAGGCGTTATCCTCGACCATAACTGGAACTTCATGGAACATTTTAAAGCGACCAGCACTATATTTTCGCCCTCTAGTGTGGTAAAGGGTTACTAAATAATATCTGAATACATAAGCACCTGTAAATGTTTAAGTGTAACTCCCACATCTGAGTACATACGACCATCTAATTGGTATCAATTTAGAGGTCATTCACTGCCCTTGAATATACCAACAACTTTTCGGGTCTATGTCCTTCAGGGGTAAATCTATACGCTATAGAATACAATTTTTGTAATTTTTCACACAAAAGTCAGGGTCCATTTGACCCGCTAAATATTGACCGATCTTTATCAAAACAGGCATGCTTATTCTTAGGCCCGATCCCCTTCTCCATGTAAAATTTAACGATGTTCGGACCATAACTGCGGCCTCTGGAACGACCAGAAAAACCGAAAAAATAATGTTTTTGGTCCATTTCATCCCCTAAATATTAACCGATCTTTTCCAAAAACAATAGGGGTCTTCTTTCGCCAGAACCCATCCTACATGCAAAATTTTGTGAAGATTGGTCCATAACTGTGACCTGTATCGTGTTTACAAATTATAATGGACAGACGGACGGACGGACACACATGTCTAGATCGCTCAGCTAGTCGAGATATGACTATCGGTATACTTAAAGGTGGGTCCAGGACCAATATTTCGCGGCGTTACAAACATTTGGGGCTGCACAAAGCTATAATACCCTGACAACATAGTTGTGTAGAGTATAAAAATCCACACCTCTGATAGTCGTTGAAAAAATATTATTTAAAAACATACATTTATTGTTATATAATTTTAGAACAGTTTAATTGCAAAATATTTTACGGTGCATTCAAAATCTCCAAAGTTAAACAATTTTCTGTATCGTTACGACCACGGAATGGATTGGGCATTGTAAGATTCTTGTAATCAATCATATACGATGGTATGCCAAGGACATTTTCACAGTAATATCCTGTGGTAGGACAATTGGCATTTGCCTTCTCTATCTCATGAAGGCAGCGATCAATGAGTGTAGTGGCACGTTGAATATTGGCAATTGTGCTATTTTGAACAGAAAAACTACATTCATGGGCCTGCTTTACATAGACATTCGATGAGCCCTTGGCTGTTTCCAATTGTGTAGAGAATGACTTTTGATTGTTCACGGTATAAGCATTCGAAATTGATACCTAAGAGAAAATAAAATTAAATATTAAAATTGTATTTAATTTTTATAGAAAAAAAATTCCTACCACATCCGCCAAACACTGGGTATAATTTACAGGATACGATTCATTAAATTTGCTGCGACAATTTGTAACACCCCGTTCAAAGGTTCCCGTATAATAGTTGCTCAAAGTGCGATTGGTTGAGACCATATAAGTAATCAGATTATTCACTTGACCTCTACCCGATATCATACAACGTTCCATTTCACTTTCGGCGGCTATTTCTGAGGGTATCAGCGACTGATATTTCTGAACACATTTTCGACTAAAATCACTCAACACAGTTAGGGGTATCAGATTTTCATTAACTCGTGAAATTTCATAGACCAGGGATTTCTGCTGAATCGTAATCGAATTAATTCGATCCAAATAGGCCAGACGGAATGATTCAATTTGTAGATTATAAAACCAAATATGAAAATCATTTTGACGTCTCACAGCTTCAATATATTCATCGTTACGTATCAGAGAACTATTTTGGCTATTATAGTAGTTGATTAGACCAGTCTGAAAATTCAAAATCCAAAGAACTTTTTTTCTAGATTTTTAATTTAAAACTTCACTTACATTTTGTTGAGCCTTTGCAATCACCAGCAATGCCAAAAAGGCAAAAATCGTTATTAAAACCATTTTATTGTTTTTTGGTTTTTATTGTTTTCAATTTTTCGTCTGAATGCTCCCAAACCAACTGTTCATATATTGTAAAATTGCACTGGTTTATATATCTGAAAATTACATTTCATCTTCAAGTGTTTTTTTGTTTTTATCTGCTATGTTTTACTTTTTTGTATTTAATATCAGATTTTTTTGCAACCGAAAGAAACCTTTTTACTTGGAAAAATGTGTTAATAAAAAATTATTTTTATTTACTTAATTTTAATGTTTAATTTCCTTTCTGTGAAATGTTAGGGTAAATAATTGGTTTATTTACAAATACAATAGGTGAAAGATATATTTTTTTGCTATCTATGGGGGAGTTTTCCACATTCGACAAAATGTTATGATTGTTATGATGATCGAAAAAAATGGTACTTCCCCCGTACAGGTATTTCTTTATGATCTTGTAGACTGTTATGTGGTTGTAATTGGGTGATAAAAATATGAAGCCTATCAACGAGATTGTCTAGCAGATATATCCACGTTTCTCTCTAATTCACGTTTGTATAATTCTATATTAACCTGACAGACTTAAACGAGTTAAATATTCAGAATATTAATATGAATAATTTCAATATACTGTTTGTTCTTGCCAACGCGATTTTTTCTATAGAAAAATATTTGTGAGATGCTTTGCACTAAGTTTTTCTATAGAAGAAAAATCCTGAGGACGGACTTTTTCCCAAGTTTTTTCTATAGAAGAAAAATCGTCCGTGCTTAGATCACAGTGTTTTTATAGAAGAAAAAATAGAAAATAGAATAGAAAAAATTCGTTGGACCTCAAGTGTATTTTTTTATTTTTGAATAAAATGTGTCGGACCTCAGGCCCAAATGTTTTTTATTGAAAAAAAATCGTCGAACCTTAGGTCCAACTTTTTTCTATAAAAAAAAGTTGTTTTTTATAGAAGAATATTTGTCGGACCTTGGGTTTAAGTTTTCTATAAAAAAAAATTGGTCAGACCTCATTTGTTGTGGCCACGTCCAAATCGATAGGCACTGGTAGCATTGTTTTGATTTTCCATATCCACACTATGACCAGGAAAATGTATTGCTAATATAAAATATAGGACTATGTGTATTCAAATTTTCCGCCATAAGATGGAGTCTATATAAAAAATTAAAGAGCGTTGAATTCTGCCATACATATTGAAAATACCGTTAGGATGTTTGTTATTGTACCTTTCAAAATTTCGGGATGTTGACGAGTTTGGGACGATTTTTAATTGAATTTGGCTGTAACTTGGTATTTTGGGAACACATGGTGTGGACTGGAAACCTTTCTAATAAAAATATCAATATTTTTACACCTGTTAGGGTAGTCTCCATACAATTGTACCTCCCAAATTTTCGATATTTTGTGAAGTTTAGTTTAACATTGGATAGCAAATTTCTCCACTTTAAAATATCATTATTCAGAATTTTGGGGGTTTCGGTAACCAAAGTTTCAACCGAAGTGGATCTGATTTGAAATATTTTCCTATCAAACAAATTGTATATCTCCCACATAACCATACCGAACAATTTTCGATATTTTGGAAATGTTTCTCAAGGATTTAATTTGGAAATACGGGTTCTTGGTACCTCCCGGAAATTCGTACTAGAACGGCACGAAAAGTACTAAAAAGCTGGGAATATGGTTCCATTTGCATTTGGCGAACCGGTAGATCTAGAATTCTTAGATTTGGGTCACTTAAGAAGTGTAGGATAGATGCACGAAAGAGTTTTTGAAAATTCGAACTATAAGTATCCGAAACGTACTAAAATGTACAAAAATTTGTTCCAATTTCGTAGCATGTGGACGGATAAATGTGAATCGAGATTGAGAAGTTGGGTCCATATAAGGAGGTGGTTTGGGAAGTGTGTCCTCATGTAACGGAAAAGTACTAAGCGGTACTAAATTTGGTACAATTTGAATTTGGTGGAAGGGATAGAGCTAAATCGTACTATAATCGGTACAATTTGAAATTTGGGTGAACCGATAGAGCTAGAATACTGAAATTTAGAGTTAGGATTACTGTTGGGCTTTGGATTGGGATATTTGGATAGTTTCTGAAATCCATAGTAATGTGTACTAAATTTGGAATAATTTAAATTTTGGATTAACCGATAGAGCTGGAATTCTGACATTTGGAGTTGGGGTACTGTTGGCGTGTACGATTGGGATATTTACGAAGTTTCGGAAATTCATTTAGTTGAAAAAGTATTTGACTATACAAAATTGTCAAATAAAAATGTATCAGCCCATTAGACACATTTAAATTATTTATTTATCTATTTCAAAAAATCAGTAGTGTTTGGCGGGTTATTTGGGATACCATTTGTATTTTGTTTTTGCAAAATAGTCAGGCTTAATCCAAAATAACCCGCCAAACACTACTGAAGTTGTAGACGAGGCACGGTCATACTGTTTGGTTTATTGCTTTAACTAGCAATGCCAACAACAACGTTATGTGCATTCGTCACAAAGTGACGACACATAGCAGTGGGAAATGTATTGTAGTTGTCTGTAAATGCCTTGTTGACCACGAAGTCAGGCGCCAACGAAACGAACTTCTCATTGGGGTCGTATCGCTGGTAACGTAAGAACTTCGAATTGTCACAAGAGACATTTGGGTTTGAAAGGTTTTTTGTAAAGAAGCTATTAATAGCTTCTGGGAGAATATCCCAACAAAAAACTAAGGGAACTGATGAGGATCAGTGGCGAGATCCGAAACTATAGTCTTCCCTGCCTTACCCCTCGGCGGACAATGCCATACATTCCCCACTAATAAATAGTTGTTTTTTATAAAAACAACAAACTGGGATTAAGCCTGATTATTTTGCAAAAACAAAATATTTCAAAAAATGAAATTTGAATCCTTAAAGGCAATATATATTAGGTTGGGGAAAAATAAATCCGTTATTTTGAACTATAGGGCATTATTTAACATGCTTCGGAATGTCCGTATGATTTGTTGCCATTTTAAAGGTAATTTCATAATACCTCTCTCATAGAAGTTCTCCTGTTGGACGTTTCTGAACTTCTCATAGAAGTTCGCCTCTCCTGTTGGTCGTTTCTGGTCAATTGCTATCTTCAAATGACCCAGTTATCAGAATTTATCATTTGGCGATATGGAAGCAGCTTAGTTTTATGGTCGATTTTTAGCTCCTGCCTAATGGATTTTTTCCCTAACCTAATATGTTATTAATATTAAATAGGAACAGTTTTCTTAACACACTTAAACTAAATTTTCTGGTGTGAGTCAAATTGGCTCACTTTAGTAAATCATAGTTGTAATAATATTCCAGATTTATTTCATTGGGTGGAAAGATAATTTTAATATGGTTCCGGGGGTTTTCTCTCCCTTCAATATTGACAATGACCTCTGCATAATATTGATTATATTGATGATTCATTTCAATGTCTAAAATATTGAATCACTTAATATATTGTTGCTTACTGAATAACTGTTAAGATAACTGCACAAACTTACTAATATTAAAATTATCAGGTGCTATAAATTTTAATAAAGATTAAATATGGTAACAATTTCGTCCGATACGAAGTGTATATACCCTATTCACACTTCCCAGACCATGGGTTCCACTTTTTTGGCATAGTGTTATAGACAAAATATTTTTTAACAAATTCTTAAATTTTGCGGTTAATATTTGTGAGCATTTGCAAATATCTTTATAAAAAATTAATTTATTCGACTCCATTTGTTTAAAATGGCGTATACATTGCGACAACAGTCATACGTCCGGTGGTCCCAAAAAAGTCATTGAAAACTATTTTTTAAAATT